ATATTTTTGGGGCATTTTGGCTTTAAAGGGGTCATATGATGCGATTTCAATTTTTCCTTTCTCTTTGGAGTGTTACAAGCTCTTGGTGCATAAAGAAGATCTGTAAAGTTGCAAAGACTAAAGTCTCAAATCCAAAGAGATATTCTTTATAAAAGTTAAGAGTCAACCACGCCTACCTAAAACAGCTTGTTCTAACACGCCCCCACATATCTATGTCATGATGTGGGAAGATTTGCATAACACCGCCCAAATGTTCACGCAAAGAAAGAAGGCGTAACTTTTTTTCTCGCTGTAGTATTGTTGCCGCCGCCGCCATGTCGTGAAGGCATTGTGTGATTCGTTGTGAAAGCGAAACTCCTTTGTTTGGCCTTCCAAAAATGGACACGACTAGAAATCAGTGGTTAAGTTGTATTTACAACACTGTTCCAGAACACTTCAACCCAAATATTCAGATGTGGGCAGCACATTTTATGGAGGACTGTTTCCTGATCCTGGTAGAGTAGACTACAATGCTGGCTGTTCTGACTCACAGACTGTAAGTACGTTTTTTATATTTAAAGAATTTGCCACTTCAAACGCGAGTTTTGAGCAGTGTAGAGTAGGGCTTGTTGTTTGTAATTCCTCCGATCACAAATGCAGACATGGTTTTATGTTTACATAAAACAAATAATAAAAAAAAACATATTTATTTATTTGAATTTTGCCTTTATTTGACAGTTTGAGGAGAGATAGGAAGCAAGAAAAGAGGTGAGATATGAAGCGCAGTTGCGCAATATGTAGGTGCACTACCCTGAAGGCCCTGAAGGCCCTGAAGGCTCAGACACAAAACAGATTTTTAATAAAAACAGACAGCGTAAGCAGGGCTTCTATATTCCACAGGAGTGAGATATTTTGTCTTCATAGAAAATACAACAGTTTAAACTCTGGAATTCTCCCTAATTATCATTTTGTGATGTTCATGTTTATTTAGCTGCACACACAGCTCTAGGCAGAACGTAGCACCAAAATACATATAGTATTTTTCTTGTCAGCCTTAATAATTTTTAAATCAGGTCTGCAGCTGAAAGGATTTCACTTGTTTTATAATAAGGCTTGCCATGCTTATGAGAGAACTCAGTAGCAGCATTAGGGATTGGATTTTCACAGGATTGTGCGTGGCTGCCCTGCACTGAGATCTTTCTCAACCATCTGATCAAATCAGACCGTTACATTTTTCTGCTTATTAAAGTACAGTACACAAACGCACGCTCACAACTCAGTCCTGATGCCTCAAGGTGCAAGTTTGTTGTGAAGTGGAGCATCGGTTGTCTTCCCAAACGCACCCTTTGATTAGCCTGTTTGTTCAATGCTGAGCACTTTTAATAGGGGTTGCGTTGCAGGTCGGCCGTTTGGTGTACTTACCATTGAATCTCTGCACACACACAACGTCCATTGCCCCAACGGGCCCCTCATCCACTCTTCCTTCATCTCTTCTCTGATTAGACTTGTCCTTATGGAAGCTTTCCTTTGGATATTTTAAGCACAGAGAAATAGGAATAAGACTGTGTGTTTTACAGCCTTGCCCGTGGCACCAAATGATCTCTGACTCTTTAATCACGGCTAAATGCTGTCAGAGGGCCTGCAGTGAGAGACTGTCTGCGGCGAGTCTTAAACTAAACGCAGAAGGGACGGGCTGAGATAATGGGCTTTAGGAGGAAATGTGCTGAGGCGTCTCGCTGTGGGGGGAAAAGAGGCTTTGAGTCTTCAATGGCAACATTTTGTGCTGCTTCTGAGCACCAGAGAAAAAGATTTCTGCAAATTAAGCTCTGTCTAGATTTCCACTTTATTTGTCCTCCTCCGCAATGATTCAGAATGGCTGCAGATGAAGAGGCCGGCGGACTTGGAGCCAACGCGGAGTGGATTTGCCATGTTGAATGGGAGGGAAACTGTTTGCATCCCAGTGTGAGGCTTCTTTGAAAGTGAAGCGCTCACTTTGGGGCTGATGGGGAGTTGACGAGATCCGCAGGCCAGTGAGTGAGGCAAACGGTGGATGTGTTGTGTTTTTCTGCTCTTTTTCTCTCATCAGCGTAGGAGAACTGAGAGGAGCGTGATGAGTGCTGATTGACTGCGAGTGGAGCAGACGATGAGCGGCTCATCTATCTTTGCTGACCTCCCGCAGGTTTCCTGCCTTTGATGTGCCATGGTCATTTGTGTGGCGTGAGAGCTCAACCGACAGAAGAACTCATCTGTAGCAGATTTACTCAAATCAATAACGTGCCTCCTGCCCTCTTTGAGCTACTTAATGTGGCCTACGTCGCACCTCCTGGGAAAGACTCGCTCCAGCGCCAGGATGTTCCATGACCCCCCTCTATGCCAAGCTGTCTTCTCGAAGTGCTGATCATCCACCTCTTGTTTGTCTGGCATAGACAGCGGTCGTTGGTGTCTCACAGCACACAGTCTTCATTATGGCTTTATCCACTTTCAAAACAGCCTTCTGAGCTTAGTCAAGCAACTGGCTTAATCTTAAGGCCGTTTCACACCGAGCACGATGCGAAAAAGCGAGGCGAATTGCCGACGAACGTTCCTTTCACACCAAGCACGAAACGATTGATCGCCTTCTGCTAATTCACGCCTGCATGCTAGGTGGTGCTGACCAGCAATGCATTTTTACTCAGATATGTATCTCATATATGGATTTAACATCGTCCACTGCTCAATATAGAGCATTAAATATAGCTAAATAAAGTTTGGCTCTACGCCAGAAACACAAACTATCTATAATGCTTACAAGAAAACATCTTAAAATATAAATATAAGTACAATTAGCATCAAGCCACATTTGAAAATGTATGTGATTATTGTTTTTGCTTAAAACCCATTATAAACCATCATCGAGTGCTTGTAATAACTTCCGATTGTGATCTATAGTTGATTTTGATTCTATAATAGGCAAACATGCACTCTTTGTAGGCTATGTTTAATAACACCACACTGCTTATTGTCATAAACATCCTTTATTGTTATAAAATTACCATGAGCTGCATACAAATCACATACAGAAAATATATCGTCATAATCATATGTCTATTTGCTTTCATATTTCATGTGTAGAAAATGTTTCACTCGTTTTTTTAAACACGAAAGATCTAGAGAGTTAACGCGCTCTGACTCATTACACTCGTGCACGTGGAAGAAAACGGACACTCCAGATCACATAATTCAATGGAGAATTTAGAAATTATATTAAATGTGAGAATAAATTTGTCCTCAAATACCAAAGATAACAGGAACTCGGCAACAACTCTCTTCTCTCTACCGGGATACTCTTCTGTGTTTGTTTACACTGGTTTTCTAAACAGCGCCACCGCTCTCACCCTTTTGTGCAACATCAGCTGCTCTGGGCACGTGATCTAAGCTCAAATCTGATTGGACGGCCCGTTTCATCGTGGAGCGACGGGGAAAAAATCGACACACAAGACGAAAAAAAATCCTCGCTTTTTCGCACCGCGAATGATCGCGTGTGAATAGTCCCATAGGGATCTATTGTTTCAATTCAAAAGCGTCATCGCGACGAACATTCGCGCCGAATTTTCGCTTTCAGTGTGAAAAGCCCTTTAGGCTGATGATACACGGGGCAACTTTGGCTAATGTTGCCGTCAACGGGCAACCAGGTGAGACACAGGGCCCACGACCAATCTAAAGTATCCGTATAGAAATAAAATGGGAAAGTGCCCAAGCAACATTGCTCAAAAAGTTGCCCCATGTATCATCAGCCATAGTGGTTAAATATGGACTCGTTTCTGAGGTTGTTTAAATCATACAGTATCTTTAACATTGTATGTTGCTTTGGATGAAACCATTATAATTTGAAATTATGTTTTTGAAAAAAAGTCGCTTATGGTCACTAAAGCTGCATTTATTTGAATAAAAATACAGAAAAAAGTAATATTGCAAAATATTATTCAAATATAAATAATATTAATATTAAATAGTGTTTTCTAACTAAATATGTTTTAAAATGTAATTTATTCTTGTGATGGCAAAGCTGAATTTTCAGCAACCATTATTCCATGCTTAGTCACATGATCCTTCAGAAATCATTCTAATAGGCTGATTTGGTGCTCAAGAAACATGAAATATGATATTATATGGAATATGATGTTGTTTTCAGGATTCTTTGATTAATAGAAAGTTTGAAAGAACAGCATTTATTTTAAAAAGAAATATTTAGTAACATTTTAAATATCTTAATTGTCACTTTTGATAAATTTATTGCATCCTTGCTGAATAAAAGCATTCATTTCTTTCTCAAAAAAGGTCTTACTGACCCCAAACATTTGAGCAGTATTGTACAGTATATCAGAAACGATGGAGAAATATCCACTAAGTAAGCATGAGTTAGTAGTTAGCACTGACTTTTAAGGTATGAGGTGAGGGAAACCACATGTGCTCTGAGAATCAAATAAAATATCTCCTGATGCATGCAGTAAAATGCATTGTAAACAAATGTAAAAGAAAAAACATACAAAATGTATGTCTATGGTGGTTATGGACCTATTTATGCTAGCTAATACCATGTAAACACAAGAATGACTGTGTCAGTCTTTTATAGCATCTCTGGGCCACTTTAGGTGCGTTTGCAAGATTAGCTCCTTGCAGTTTCACCCATTTTATTGATAGCGTTTGCTTTCAGCATGGTATTAACTCATAGATAATTTAAAGAGAATATATGAGGGGATGTAAATAATCTTTGCTTCAGCTAATCCCCATTCACACTGGGATTCACTTGTATTGACAAAACACTGTACAAACTTGTATCTGTCAGCATATGTTCTGTAATATGTGTCTTGGCAATTTCAGGATACCAGGACACCGTTACATCCACAGCCTTTTGCTTGCAATGTAATACGACCGAGTCGTACTAATAAGCAAGAGTTTTTGTCCTCAGCTCTGACTGGAGTGTAGTGGCATTTTATTTGGCTGGTGTAAAAAAGCATCCTTTCTTCTTCTCTGTGTATCAGGTTGTGAAAGTGGCCACTGGGGGCCCCACTGCAGCAACCGCTGTCAGTGCAAGAATGGGGCCCTGTGTAACCCTATCACAGGAGCCTGTGTCTGCACAGACGGCTACCAAGGTTGGCGCTGTGAGGATCAATGTGAGCCTGGCTACTATGGCAAGGGCTGCCAGCTACAATGTCAATGCCTCAACGGTGCCACCTGCCACCACGAGACGGGGGAATGCATATGTGCACCAGGCTACATGGGTCCCATGTGAGTACCAGAGATAAAACTGGTTTGCAATATAGAGATATGAAGGTAAATATGTATTTGCTGAAATATATTCTTTATATAGAGGAGACAAGGGCAAGTTGTTACTCTAGTGAAAAGGGTAGGATTATTTTTGAAAGACAATTTCTGTATAGGCACACACCTCTTGACTACAAAAAAGCTACTCAACCTTTCCACCACCTTTTGCAAAGGAGACACATTCACCTTTTGTGTTGTCACAATGAGAACATGTCATTAAATAGTCCGTTTTTTTCAGCTAAATTAAAAAAGTAACGTTTTGTGCTTCATGAAATATAGAAAAAATATAATTCAAATATACACTGCCATTCAAAAGTTTGGGGTCAATATGATTTTAGTCCTTTGAATAAAAAATAAATACTTTTATTTTGCAAGGATGCATTAAATCAATGCATTAGATCCAACAAGACAGTAAAGACATTTATAACAGAACATATTTCCATTTTACATAAATCATGTGACACTGAAGACTTGAGTAATGGCTGCTGAAAAATCAGTTTTGCGGTCACAGAAATACATTCCATTTTAAAATATATTAAAATGGAAAATTTATTTCAAATTGTTGTAAAATTTCACAATATTACAGTTTTTGCTGTATTTTTGAACAAATAAATGTAGCTTTTGTGAGCATATTAAGAGACTTCTTTCAAAAACATAAAAAAATCTTAGCAAGCCCAAACTTTTGAACGGAAGTGTATAATTTTTTTTTTTTTTATCCTTTAAATATCAGTTGTTTTGGGCCACCAGAAATTGTAGTTGATTTTTTTTTTCATTATTACATAATACATATAAAAACATATGAGAGCATGCCTCACTAATGTAAAAATAATAGCAATTCCTTGCTAGAATGTATGCTACTGTAGTTACTTCACATATTTCTCCAAAATACATTAGAAAAATGTTAACAGAAATTGTAATTTGGAGGATGCCATTTGAAGAAGGTGTTTGAAACCAACACAGAAAATCAATGTTGTAGAGTTTTCACCTAAAACCTTCTAGGTACTTCCCCGTGTGACAACTAGCCCCAGTCTCCCATACTAGTCTACATACTATGTACTTACTATGTTCATTGTTAGCATAGTGAAAACACTATGAAGTTCTTGTGAGGGTACTTTAAAAAAATATGGGTTTTTTTTGCATTTGTTCTAAAGTCTTTGAACGTTCTTGTGTTTTATGTTGCAATCCTTTGCAATGACTGCCTGAATTTCAAGTGTTTGTTCTTGTGGTTCGGCAGCTGTGGGGAGCGATGTCCCTCTGGAAGTCATGGGCCACAGTGCGAGCAGCGCTGCCCCTGTCAGAACGGAGGAACCTGCCATCACATCACTGGAGAATGCTCCTGCCCTGCTGGATGGACGGTAAGATGCTGCACACAGGGGGACCGAAAGAGTGGAGAAGTGGGGGACAAAGGGAAAGTGACTGAGAGAATAAAGGACAGAAAAGAAACAGAGAGGAATAAAGATGAGGAGACAGATGATAAGGAATGAGGGGCAGAAAGTGAAGGAGAGTAAAAGGGCAAGAGACTGAAGCGACGGAAGAGATGAGTCATGCTTAAAAGGAAGGAAGGAAGGAAAAGAGAGAGTAATTAAAAGGAGAAAGGGAGGGTTAAGTGAATGGTGGGAAGGTGAAAGAGTTTAAGAGGTAAATGAAGGAAGGGTGGAAGAGAATCTGAATGTAGATACTTACACAAAAAACTAAGTGGGGAAGAAATGACACTGATCTGAGTCTAGCAGAGCAGCTGAAGTTATTATTTGGAAGCAAATTGTGTGAAGTTTGCTGAGCCTCATTATTACTCCTTTTGCATCATCTCAAACTTGTAAAGAGGACATATCAAAAACACAAATTTCCTTTCTCTTCTGAAAAGAGCTTAATGTGCTACAGTATGTAGACATACTCTAATATTCACAAAGTAATGCTCTAATTTCTGTTCACCGTTTATTAAAACTAAACTGCATAAATGGGTCATTTAGATATTGTAATAGTATTGACCTCATAACTGTGAGTACTGTACATTATCATATGAGATGTATACATTTAAATGCCTATCCAATGATTAAGGAACCTTGCTCAAAGGTCATAAGTGGTTACAGATATATAGAATATGGCCTCTTTTGGAGGGCCAAATTCTGTGTTTCTGTATAAGTCTTTAATCTTTAATTATATAGATTCAATATACTGATTCTATATACTGTATGCTCACCTAAAATCATTTATTCCCTCATGTTGTTTCAAACCTGTATGAGAATGTTATTCTAAATGTTTGTTATTTTTATTTTGAAAAAATGTATTGGCTGCTTGTTTCCATATATTGAAAGTGAATGCGCTTTCAAGCTCCAACAGGGCTACAGACGAAAAAATTATAATTTAAGGAGCCATTGGCTCCTATAAGAAACTAAAAAATGTTATGTGCCACAGAATAAATGTGTTTCATTTATTTATTTTTTCTTTTCTTTTTTTTAAACACTTTAACATTTCAGTCATACTGTCATGTGTTTATGTCTCCCCTCCTTTTACAGCATCAGCTTTTTAATCCATCTTTTAAATGTCTTAGGAACTAAGGTTCACTTAAAGTGGGAACTAAACATCTTTTCCAACTTCAAAACTATATACAGTCATAAAGAATTGTTTATTACAAAGAATCTGTAGCAATATCATGGACCACAACTATGTCAGCATCACTTGCCCATTGAGTGTAGTTTGGGCTCCTCCTCAATGCATCCTATAAATGTTGTCACATGTCTTGCACACATCCAGTCTGGTTTTGTTTTTTCATTAGTAACATGCAATTATATAAGAGGTGTTGAATTTTATTTTTGCTCCTTGTATTCTTTATTATCATGTAGACAACAGGTTAAGTAAAAATATTTTTTGCAAAATGCTCCTCTTTATAGTTATTTTTTCTAACTGACTAATGAGTTTTTGGATGCCGGGAAATGTATTGTTATGTGGCATTGTTTACAAGCTTTACGCGTTTTCTGCAGTTTGAAGCAGCGAATGAGCTGTTACATAGGACATGCCAAAACGGTATTTGTTATTTTGAATTTCGTTATGAATTTGTCAACATAATAAAAGATGTGATCGCAAAACCAGCAGGAAAAAAGGCATTACATGCAAATTTTTAAGTCATAACATGTAAATTTATGTAGTCGCCAGTGGTGATCTCAACAAAAATATCACTTGCTAATTAAACTGTTTTAGACACAGTCTGAAGCCCTGCTCCAAAATGGCAAAAAAAGCACAATTAAAGCATTATAGAAGACTATACTTTTGTATGATGATAAGATATAAGTAGTTGTTCCGTGAAAAATTGCCATTAATTGTCTACGTATTTTTATATGGCGCCTGTTTGACATCAGTGTGATGATTGCACATCTTGCACATCATGTGACTGATCACATCACAGTGAATTTTAATGTGTGGCAGAGAGAATAAGAGTTAAGGTCAGGGCCAATGTTCACACCAAGGATGATGACTATAAAGTTTTAATAATTGTTCTAATTCTGTGAGAATAAGAAGTCCACACCTCAGCTACAACAATAACCACACAGAGGAACAATATTGTTGGAATCACTTTAAAATAGATTTTTTTTCCATTGACAGCTAATCAGAATCTACCCTACTTTAAAAAGCTTGAGCATTTGAAGTGGCAAACGACATAACTGTAGCACACTTGTTTTAACATAAAGCCAATATAGTTATTGCTATACAGTAGTTGTGAATGGGCCTTTAAAGTGTTTCTCCTTTTAAAAGAAAGAAAGTCATATGGGTTTGAAATGGGGAGTAAATGATGACTAAATTAATTTTTTTTATTGTTCCTATAAATCAGTGCAGTTTTAATGGTTGTGAATGACTTTCATTTGATTCTCAAATTTTCTCTGCCCTCTTTCTGGACAGGGGTCTGTGTGTGCCCAGCCATGCCCATTCGGCAAATATGGGATCAATTGCAGCAAGGAATGCTCGTGCCGCAATGGAGGACTGTGTGACCACATTACAGGACAGTGCCAGTGTATGGCAGGATACAGTGGCCACAGGTAAAATAAAAACCCAGTTCTGAACTTATTTCTATTATTGTACCTCTATGTCTTTAAAAAAAACTACCACAAAGGCAGTTTGTTAACAAGCCTGCAAAATTTGGTTGCTGAATAATTGATTAATTGTTTTTTTAACTGCTCTGTGTTTACATTCCCTGTGTCCACTGATCCCACTCCAAGATCCGCACTGGTCTGTTAAGTTTCTGCCCATTAATTACCAGTAATGGAGTTTTATTAGGATCCAATTGAAATTGCTCAGTGCCTTTATTTCCCTGTGTCTTCTGCAGCAGCTTAGGGTTTATTAACGCAGTAAAGTGATTGTCTGCAGAATGAAAACACTTTCAGGACAGACACTTCTTATCCTCTAATATTTAACAAAATTGCACTCATTCATTTGGTCTGTGACAGGTGAATTAGCCCACTAGGAATAATCTCAGATTGCGTTAGTACCCCCTCCTCCCTCCCCCTAAGTCCTTCTCACACTTCTCTCTCTACTGATACAAACGATGCTGGTGTAATTTCAACATGAAACATACCTAGTCCGTTTTATAATTTAATTGAGCTATTTATCTGTCTCTAAATGGCTTCTTTGGACACTCAAGATTGATGTTCTGCCAGGATTGTATATTGAAGATCTTGTGGAAGTCGTTGTTCCTTAAGTCACTTTGCTATTCAACAGAGAGAATGAGCCTGGGTCTAATTGTATTCAGGGTAATTAATGACTGCAGTCTTAGTTTGCTGTCGCCCCAGGTGAAGCCAAGGGGCTGATGAACCTGAGGCACCAAAGAAGATGCCCAGAGCATTGATCCTTGACCCTTAGATTAGAATAACACTGTAGTCTACTAATTCTGCTTGTGTTATTCTGACAGGCTCCTTTTTCTTACAGAGCTGCTCTGCATAATGAGTGATATACAGTACACAAAATATTGCTTTGGGGGTTTTTTCCCTATGTAAACTGTTTGAAATGTACCCAGGTGCCAAGAAGAGTGTCCGGTCGGCACATACGGACCCCAGTGTGCCCTTCACTGTGACTGTCAGAATGGGGCCAAGTGTTACCACATCAATGGAGCATGTTTGTGTGATACAGGATTCAAAGGGCCTCACTGCCAGGACAGGTTCTGTCCACCAGGCCTCTATGGCCTCATCTGTGACAAATACTGCCCATGTAACGCCACCAACACACTCAGGTGAGACATGCTACCACACGTGAATGCACCCACTAGAATGATAACCTTGGAATTGACAAGAATCAATAGACTAGGAATGCATATTGGTAGCTTAATGTTTATCAGATGATATTACAGATTTTTTTAATCATTGGTATTAGCAAACATTGGATATTTAATTCTGCATGCTCATATGCCGTATTTTTACAGTTAGATTTAATGCTCAATTAATGCTCATTTAAAGTAAAAAAATTTAATATTTAATACTATTAAATGTAATCTTCAGCAATCTAAAAATTAATATCCATTTTTCCATGTTATCCACGTTGTATGTAAAAATGTTGTGATCCCTAAATTAATTGCATTTAAATCAATTGTATTATTTATTTATTTATTTAGTGTATTTGTTTAATTTAGAGATAAAACTTTACAATAAGGTTCACTAGTTAACATTAGGTAACTACTTTAGTTAATATGAACTAAGCATGAACAATACTTCTACAGCATATATTAATCTTAGCTAATGTTAATTTCAACATTTACTAATGCATTATTAAAATCAAAAGTTGTGCTTGTTAACATTAGTTAATGCACTGTGAATTAACATGAACTAACAGTGAACAACTGTATTTTCATTAACTAACATTAACAAACATTAATAAATACTGTAATAAATGTATTGTTCATTGTTTGTTAATGTTAGTTAATACATTACCTAACATTAACTAATGGAACCTTATTGTAAAGTCTTACCAATTTAGATAAAATAGTAAAGAATTTTAATGTTGGCCATAATGTGAAAATCATTTTCAGTTAGAATTATGCAGTAATTTAATTACTGCAATATCAGTGCATCTCTACAATGCACTTTATTTCCTTGCAAAGCAATAATATATGTTAATTTAGAAGTCTGAAACCAGTATAAACCAGTATTTTTAAACCAGTATATTACTGGGTGCATTGTATCTAGGGCTGTAAATTGAGTACAAATTATTTGAATTTATTACATTAATAACATATACATGATATTCTCATTAATTAATTGTATATATATATATATATATATATATATATATATTTGCCGAGAAAAGCCACCAGACAAATAAATCATGAAATAGACTGTGCAAAAAATACTTTCCAAGTCAAATTACTGTTTGTTTTTGTTTCCATATAATTTGTCATTTTCCATGCATTTTTTGTATTTCTTCTGTGCCATTTTGTTCTATATATACAATGCAAAGGTATTACTCAGAAGACATGGTTAAATTAATCATGTTTATGCCATTAATTATACTGAATTACAACCCTAATTAGATCATAATTTCCTCACACTTTGAAGATAACAATTCAGCGAAGTTATTTCATACAAACAATATATCTTTGGAGCAGGCACGTGCACACATAGACATAAAAGGGGGCTTGAGCACCTGCCCTTTTTCTTCCTCGGGAGAAAGTGCCCTTTTTTCTGGGGATGTTTTCTTTTTAATATTTTTAAATAAATTAATATATGTACAGTATATATGCGTGTTTCTGTTTGCACACAGCTTTCCCTGTCAAACAAATAAAAAAATCTAAATATCAGGTCAGGTCAGGTCAGGAAATGTTGAGACTGTCAAGTTCCGAATGCCTTTCTCCCCTCCGCGTCTCCGTGCAGCACAGCAGTAGCACTCATTGATCGGCACATCACATCACAGACAGACAGAGAGCTGTAGAAGTGAAGCCCTTCCTCCCTTTCCAGTTGTGTTTGTCTTGGTGTGGAGGTGAGTGGTGATGAACAAAAGACTAAGCTTGTGCCTCAAATTTACAGCTAATTACCCAAAAGACATCTTGCTAACATCCATGACTCATAAGAGCTACCATGTGTGTTAGCTAACGTTTAGTTCTCTTACGACGAACGTCAAACTGTCTTAGTTTTTCAAGACAAGCCATGATCAGAATTAATGCTAGAGATTTCTTCTAACCGCATAAACTCCGGCGCTCCCGTCCTCCGCTCATAGAAATCATATGATACGTTGCCTTTGCTATGATAAACACCAGTTACACTATTCTTCTTAAACACGCTGGTATTGTCACCATTCATATACTTTTAATGATAGCCACCATTACAGCCCTGCATGCAATGCAGCTCGCAGTCACTGAACGTGTATGGGTTGATAATGTAGAACTCCAGACAAGTTTTCTTGCGCGCACCCGTTTTTAACACGTCTTGACTGTCGTACAGTCTGACATTAATGACAACTGAGATCCCACAGTGTGGCATGATCAAGTACAATCAACAAGTACAATCCTAAAGGACTTTTAAAAATCGCACAGTGTGAGCCTGGCTTAAGACAATAAGTCTAGTAGACCAGTGCGCATTCTTTCAATGCATGATTCAGTTTATTCAAATGCATTTAGAATGATCACAAAATTCAAGATATGGGGGCAAAAATTTATATATTTATATCATTTCATATAGTTAATCAGTATCACGCTAAGACTGACGTTTTTTCCACCAAAAAGCAGCATGATTACAAATGTGATATTGATTTTATACAGCAGTTCAATAAACAATAATTTAATATTAAGACACTTACGTTTTAGACACAATATTGACTGTTTTTGCTCTATTTCGTATTCCAATTTGCATCTCTGAGCAACATGAATCTGTTTTGTTCCTGAATGAATCAACCGTTTAAATGATTCGGTTCAATCGCAATGACTCACTTATTAACATTGACTTGCTGCCACCTACTGGCAGTTTTAATTTTACATTTAAAGTATCTTTTCATTTAAAAAAAAATATTTTAAATATCAGTATTCAATGTTTTATGTTTAAAATATCAAAACAGTATTAATGCATTTGTAACTGCAGGTTAAATATCAAATATCAGAATATCAAAAACTTTAGGAGTCAGCTGTCCACGGTAGTCCTTAAGATATCAGCAAAATAACACACTCAGCAAAATATCATCTAATTATCGTTATCGATAAAATCTCAGAAAATATTGAGATCGATCAATCGATTTTTTGTCAATATCGCACACCCCTGATATATTTAATGTTTTGTTTAGAAAAAAATTAAAATAAATATGAGAAGTGCCTTTTTTTCCACTTGAGCCCCTGTCCCTCAAAATGTCTGTGCACGTCCCTGCTTTGGAGTCCCCTATGATTAAACTGAACTTTCAGTCCTACAATCATCACTTTTCTAGCCAACTCTTCTCGAGTCAACCACTGGAGCCATGGGTGAGTAAAGAGCTCCATCTGAGTCCATTTGACTTCATTTGACTTGCAAGTAAAAATTTTAACACCTTTCAACAGTAGCATAGCACTTGCTCTTTATCGTGACCTGTGCTTCATTCATTATTTCTTAGCCGCGTTCCTGGCTAATGCAATGTTAATGCCTGGTATGGGTAGATTAGGCCCTGAGACACTGGGGCTCATTACTACATGAAGGAGAGAAAGGACACCCCATTTATCTGAGTGGAGCTCACAGACACAAGGATGGATGAACTTGAATGGGTTTAGTCCTCAGATTTGGCTCCCTTGTTCTAGAAACCAAAGTGTTTCTGTTTAGATGCCATATACACAACGTATCTTTAGGCATATTTGTAACTAAATGTCGATCTGTCTTTCTCTTTTTCAGCTGCCATCCCCTGACAGGTGAATGCTTGTGTACAGCAGGATGGACGGGTCTATACTGCAATGAGACCTGTCCCCCGGGTTACTATGGAGAAGGATGTAGTGTATCAGTATCACGCTAAGACTGACGTTTTTTCCACCAAAAAGCAGCATGATTACAAATGTGATATTGATTTTATACAGCAGTTCAATAAACAATAATTTAATATTAAGACACTTACGTTTTAGACACAATATTGACTGTTTTTGCTCTATTTCGTATTCCAATTTGCATCTCTGAGCAACATGAATCTGTTTTGTTCCTGAATGAATCAACCGTTTAAATGATTCGGTTCAATCGCAATGACTCACTTATTAACATTGACTTGCTGCCACCTACTGGCAGTTTTAATTTTACATTTAAAGTATCTTTTCATTTAAAAAAAAATATTTTAAATATCAGTATTCAATGTTTTATGTTTAAAATATCAAAACAGTATTAATGCATTTGTAACTGCAGGTTAAATATCAAATATCAGAATATCAAAAACTTTAGGAGTCAGCTGTCCACGGTAGTCCTTAAGATATCAGCAAAATAACACACTCAGCAAAATATCATCTAATTATCGTTATCGATAAAATCTCAGAAAATATTGAGATCGATCAATCGATTTTTTGTCAATATCGCACACCCCTGATATATTTAATGTTTTGTTTAGAAAAAAATTAAAATAAATATGAGAAGTGCCTTTTTTTCCACTTGAGCCCCTGTCCCTCAAAATGTCTGTGCACGTCCCTGCTTTGGAGTCCCCTATGATTAAACTGAACTTTCAGTCCTACAATCATCACTTTTCTAGCCAACTCTTCTCGAGTCAACCACTGGAGCCATGGGTGAGTAAAGAGCTCCATCTGAGTCCATTTGACTTCATTTGACTTGCAAGTAAAAATTTTAACACCTTTCAACAGTAGCATAGCACTTGCTCTTTATCGTGACCTGTGCTTCATTCATTATTTCTTAGCCGCGTTCCTGGCTAATGCAATGTTAATGCCTGGTATGGGTAGATTAGGCCCTGAGACACTGGGGCTCATTACTACATGAAGGAGAGAAAGGACACCCCATTTATCTGAGTGGAGCTCACAGACACAAGGATGGATGAACTTGAATGGGTTTAGTCCTCAGATTTGGCTCCCTTGTTCTAGAAACCAAAGTGTTTCTGTTTAGATGCCATATACACAACGTATCTTTAGGCATATTTGTAACTAAATGTCGATCTGTCTTTCTCTTTTTCAGCTGCCATCCCCTGACAGGTGAATGCTTGTGTACAGCAGGATGGACGGGTCTATACTGCAATGAGACCTGTCCCCCGGGTTACTATGGAGAAGGATGTAGTGTGCAGTGCCAGTGTAATAATGGAGCAGACTGCCACAGTCTCACTGGGGCCTGTATCTGTGCCCCAGGCTACACAGTGAGTCCATGTTTATCATTTATCATTGTCTACAGTCATTAAATACTAGTAAATCCTGCCATGCTGAAATATTGTATCATGAAATTGACTGCTGAGCATTGATGATTATAGCTGCTAATGTTTGGAACTAAAGGATGGTCTTTTTTCATATGCCCTGACATATAGGCCCCCTATACACCTGGCATTAACATCACTCAAACCTCTTATTTGTTGCGTAAACACAGATACAGGAATCAACTTTAATAGACACCTCACGTGAAACAGTAGAGAAACAACCAAACATAAAATATAAATTTAGACGGACAAGGACTAGAAGGAACTAAGGATATTTAAACACTGGGATTAATGAGATAATTAACAAGATAACAGGTGAGCAGAATTAACAAATCAGAACACAGGAAAACTGGGGCACAGGGAAAACACAATGGAACACAAAAAGACCATACATGTTTCAGCAGTAAGTAAGAAGTGTAGTAAGTTTATACTTACAAAGTCAGTAACCCTCCCATCAAAATCCGATGACAGGTGGTCACAGGAGACACATTTGTGATACAGGTGCAAACAGCAGTGTGTCTTGGCTCACCATTTGTGATCGGATGACCTAAGATAGAAGATGCCTCTAAACAAGGCCATTGATGTGACATATGAAGGTGGCAAAACTCATTATTACGTAATAAAAGTTTTTGATTGTGGATTTTAAGTGAAAACTGGAAGCATCTTTCAAAGAACATTTCTAGTCAGCACTTCCCTTGATCTTTCTTTGAAAGTTTTTGTGTCCTCATACTTAAAGCAGAAGTGTCAGCGAATACAGTTTATTGCTTTGAAAATGATCTGTGCTCTCTCTCTCTCACACACACACACACACAAACACATCACCTTCTGCAGGGAGGCTGGGAACAAGGTGAGAGTTTCTTCAGTGAGTTCAGTAATGCTACTTTCACAATGCTTGTGTCTTATTACACAGCAGGTTTAGACTTAACACAAAGACCTTACCAAACACAGAAAGATGTGCTAGATACAAAGACTCCAAAATAGATTGTGATTTCTAGGCAAGACTCTATATGACATAAATAACAAATTGACATGAAAAATGACATAAATAACGTTTTGTTACCCAGTTGGTTGCACATGGCACCCAATCTACCCGGCTTCGTGTTCTGTTATGAACAAAGGGGATGCTAAAATGAAAGTGATAAGATGCAAGGAAAGAGCATGAGAAAGTTGAAATGTCAGCTAGAGAGATGATCATATCAGTAATCGGAATTTATTTTAGAGAGATGTTAAAATAGATGGATGACTCGTTCTTTTGCTTCACTGAATGCGTCATAGTATTGCTTACAGTCCTGCTCATCTTGTTCGTCCTCAGAAACAAATATACTTTCATTTAGAGCTAGTAGACTTAGGGTTGGGGAACTAAGAGAAACCAAAATAATTGTTTGGGAGTAACTCAAATTAAAAGTAGCACTAGCAACTTCACTCAATTAAAGGGATAGTTCACCCAGAAATTAGTTTTGTCACCATTTACTAACTTTCATGTTGTTCGGCTAAAGTGAAAGTACCATTTTTCTATTTGTCACTATGTTTTTGACTTATATTGACTATATTATATATGTTTTAATGTTGTCACCCTAAATGAGATATGTATTGTTTTCTGCCAGATAAATACTGCTGACTGTATATAATGTTTTCTGATAGTTTTATTGTTATAAAGATATTGCATCTTTAAAAAGTTTGGGATTAGTGAGATTATTTATTTATTTTTATGTTTTTTATATACTTTTTTATATCAACAATGCATTAAATTGACCAGAAGAGAAGAAGATATATTTATGTTACAAAAACTTTTCTATTTGAAATAAATGCTGTTCTTTTAAACATTCTATTCATAAAAGAATTCAGAAGAAATATTTTTGACAAATAATTAAGCAGCCCAATTTTTCAACATTGATAATAAGAAATGTGGAAAATTCAGAATTGTCATTACTGTAATAATTTAAAAATATACTGTATTAAAAATATATATATATATTTAATTTTTTTTTTTTATCAAATTAATGCAACTTTGGTGAGCATAAAATATTTTTTCAGAAATATAGAGGAATACTACCGACTACAAACTTTTAAATGGTAGGGTAGCTTAAATGTAGCTAGCAACTTTCTGCTAACTTGTAAGTAAGCGTACATTTTCAGTAGCGTCACTTAAAGTTATGAGTAAGTTGTAGCATGGAAAGTTGTGGTTTCAGTTATCTTCCCCAGCACTAAACTGATTTCACTCCTGCATTCAGAAACAGCAGAAATATTGCAAAGCAGATCAAATAAGATTAGCCGCACGTAAGGACTAGAACGGCAGTGATGATTAAGACAAACTCAGTACCAGAAGCTATAGCCAACTCCTGTCTTGGCTGTAACTTTTGCTGTGTCCTGTGGCAGAGCTACTACAATGATTTGAACTAGCAGGCGGAGGCACAGACTGTATCTTAATTTTCACCACCTGCTCTTTGTGTTGGATTTGAGGGGCCTGCTGCCAGTTCTATTAAACACTGCTCGAGGAGCTTTGGCCAAGGAGTCTGGCCGAGATGCAATGGAATTGGGGTACGACGCTCGATTTCCAGGCCAGCTCTTTCATTTGAACCTATAGAACAACAAAGGTTAACAATTTGACCGCAGTCTGGTCGAAAATAAGAGGGGTAATGGCCACCCAAACTCTCATCTGTAGAGCTCTGAGAGAATGATATTTATAGGGGTGGGAAAGGAACATATACAGTATGCTTGTGCTGCTGGTACTGGAGAGAGCACAGGTGGGTAGATGAGGGACCAAATGTGCTGGTAGTACCACGTTGAAAGCACACATGCCACGTTCATGTGTGCTTTCATGACAATTCACTAAAATGCACAGATGCACTAGTAAGAATTTCAATGCTTTAAAATAACGTTTATTACCAAAACACTTGTAGATACTGTATGAATGACCACTAATTTAGTGTTTTTCTAAATTATAAAAATATAATATTATTATGGTAACACTTTACAATATGGTTCCATTAGTTAATGTTAGTTAATGTATTAACTAAATGAACCATGAACAGTACATTTATTACAGTATTTATTAATTTTTTTGTTAATGAAAATACAGTCATCCATTGTTACTTCATGTTAATTCGCAGTGCATTAACTAATGTTAACAAGCACAACTTTTGATTTTAATAATGCATTAATACATTTTGAAATTAACATTAACTAAGATTAATAAATGCTGTAGAAGTATTGTTCATTCTTAGTTCATGTTAACTAAAGTAGTTAACTAATGTTAACTAATGAACCTTATTGTAATGTGTTACCATTATTATATGATATTATATTATATTATCAACATAACTATTTCACTGCAGATTTCAACTGAAAAATTAACATGAATTTAAGAATGTTCATGTTGTTTCCAGCATGATCTAAGAATTATCCAAAGAGCATCATGTGCTTCAGTGGACACAAAAACATCTGACCTTTTGTACAAAGAAGCTCACATGATTAGTGTGTTAAATTTGCATATTATTAATTAGATTTTAAAAATATATATTTTCCAATTTATTATGCTGAATCCCAGATTTTCAGTGTTTTTTTTTTTTCGTTTTTTTCGACCTGAATATGAAAATATGCCATTTGATGCTTGAAAACATTTCTAGCTTGTTGAATGTACTAATGATTTGTGTTAATTTTATAATAAAGTAAATATTTAAGAATATTTAACCTCTAAACATAAGTCTTACCTTAGCCTGCTTTTAGAAGAGTTTAGTCACCCAGTTGAATGAGTGCTCTCAGACCTGTGTCAGTGTAATCTAGAGCATTCACGGGTCTCACTAAATCCCTGTGGTCATTTGTGAGCCAGAGACTCTTTTACCTCCTCCAACCCATTCACCAGTAAATTGCAGGTCTGCTGAAAAGTCGAACAAACTAACTTTCTTGCCCCATATTCGGCTGCCTGCATCGATAGTTTTAAGTATTTTTCTGTAGAACAGAACTGCCAATGTTAGCAGTCTGCTTGCTGTCACTTTTGAGCGGAACAAAGATAACTGCATGTAGATTGATGAAAAATTTATCCACAGATGTAAGCTTTTCATGTGGGGAGTGGATGGACGAGCGAAGCAGATGGAGAGGTAGAATATTTGAAATGGGGAATACAATGGGGGAATGTGGGAGAGAGAGAATGAAAAAGAAAGAGAACATACAAGAAAGAAAAGAGTGGGAGTACGAAAATTTTGGAGATGATTGTATCAAAGTGAGTGAGCGAGATAAATGATGGCAGATTGAAAAAAGGAAATAGAGGGGAGAAACAAAAAAATATATAGAGAGAGAGAGTGAGAGTCAATCCCTCTCAGTGCCCATGGTGTCCTGTGGCATATCTTATACTGCCTTCCACTCAGACCTAGTTCCAGATGATAATTAGAGAGCGGGTCCTTTGCTGCTCAATCCCGGCACTGGGGAGATGGAGGCAGGAGGCGCACAGCACACTGCCATTACCCCACTAATTGGGAGTCTAAATCATTTTGTCAGCTGTCAGTCAGAGCCAGGGAGGCAAAAAGACGCCGATGATGGCCGGCTCTGGGATACAGGTGACTCCCCTGCTGAGCCTGGTAAAGCACAGAGATTGTGCTGGTGTTGTTTGGCTGGGGAACAGGGTTTAAGAACACAGTGTCTGTCAGTCATCAGCAATGGTTTTCTGGGGGATGGATGGAGGTGCCGAGGGCCAGGGGCTGTCAGCTCATTAATGCAGCTGGGATAAGCGGGCCTTTAGCTCTGAGCATCCGCTGCCACACTTGGTGCGATTGCAACAAGGACACAACTACACACGGACTTCAGGTTTGTTGCTCTGCAAATGTGCTCTCCACCTCTCTACTTGCTTGAAACTGTTTCTAACTCATATGCTGCCCTGTTGCAGAGAATGTTTTGTTGGAAATTTCCTGTTGAAGTTTCACAGACTCCTCAGATGGGATTTAGAGTCACACTTCACAGCACAGTGCTCATGTTACATTGTAAAATTACATAAGTAAGTAGAAAAAAATTCTGATAACTAAAATCTTATATTTTCTGAAAGAAATGTGTGCCTGCCTGAGCAAATCCCTGCTCCTACAATGCTAGGGTGTTGTTAGTGGTTGCCATGGATGGTGTTACTATGTTATTGCTAAAATGGTCTGGGTTGTTTTGCACATTGTTGTAGGTTGTTGGGTGATTGCCAGGCTGTTGCTATGCAGTTGCTAACAATATGGTTGCTAAGGTTTTTTGGGTAGTTGTAGCATATTGCTGTTCTGTTGCTAGGTTATGCTGGATGCGGTTACCAGGGTGTTGCTATGTGGCTACTGGATAATAAGGTGTACTGGGTGGTTTCACAAATTGCTCTGCAGTTGCTACATTGTTGTAGGTGGTTGCCAGGAAGTAGAGAAAAATTCTAATAAGTAAAATCTTATATTTTCTATAAGAAATACGTGCCTGCCTGAGTAAAACTTTCTCCTACGATGTTAGGGTGTTGTTAGTGGTTGCCAGGGCGTTGCTATGTATTTGCTAAAAAGTTCTGGTTGGTTTTGCATTGTTGTAGGGTGTAGCGTGTTTTGGGTGGTTGCCATGGTGTTAGGGGTGGTTTTAGCACATTGCTGTTCTATTGCTAGGCTATTGTGGGTGGTTGTCAGAGTGTTGCTATGTAGTTGTTCAAATGTTCTGGGTGGTTTAGCACATTGTTATATGGTTGTTATATGGTTGCTGGATTGTTCTGGCTGGATTGTTCTGTTGTTATGTGGCTGCCAAGGTGTTCTGTGTGGTTTTATTACAATGCTATTCTTTTGCTATGCTACTGTGTGTGGTTGCCAGGGTGTTGCTACAGTTGATAGCAGTTGATATATTGTTGTAGGTAGTTGACAGGGCAAGATTTGTTTAATGTATATTTCTTGAACAATTCATCTGTGTGTTTTTCAGAATGACGACTGTTCCCAAACCTGCCCACCTCGACTATATGGTACTAACTGCACTTCCACCTGCCACTGCCACAACCAGGCATCCTGCTCACCAATCGATGGCTCCTGCATCTGTAAAGAAGGTACGGCATAATGTGCTCTCCTTCTTCTTTGTATCCTTACTCCCCCATTTTTCTTATAGACATGAATAGTGAGAGAGCCACGAGAGACTGTGGGTTTACAACCCACAAGATTATAGCTTGACCTGTACAAATAAATCAATAAGCAATCAATGCATGCAATCATATGCTAAGGAAACCTCATAATCTTTACAATCAATTACTTAATCATTGATTGTAATTAATCATTTTCTAATTCCCTTTAAAACAGATGTCAATGTTTAGAGAATTAACCCTGTCTATAAATTGAAATTTGGAATGCCTAACTAGACAATACTCCAAAAACACTTTCTGGACATCAGACACTCTCAAAAATAGTATATAAAATCCCCATCCGTTCTCCATATATCCATTTCTGTCATTATGGAAAAATTGGTGTTTCATTATCAAAGGATGCAAAGTCTCTCCAGGTCACTTTCAAAGGATACATAACCATTTAGTACTTACATGCACATATGGCTGTAAAAGCATAAAAAATGCAGCATGAATCCACAAGAGCCCTGTGAGTGCTGAACGCAGCTAACCGTACCTGCGGGACGGCCCTTATTGTTGCATAAACATGGACTCGTCCTTAAAGGCCTGCACTAGCTGAGTATTCGTTCAGGTCCCTTCAGTTTGGAAGGAAGCTCATTAGAGACAGTACCTTTAAAATTCTCATCCCATTCATAATGCAGAACCCCAGTGTGCTACACAACTTCTCTGCCTATTCCACTCTGCTCTTATGTTGACCTCAAACCATGCATTTATTCAACTCATTGGCTGCTTTGCGGCGTGAGCCGATGGAGACAAGAATCCTCTGGCTTCTGTCAAGATATGACCTCACTTCCCCCTCTTCCCGCTCTATTAATTGAACACTGTTATAAATTAGAGAAGGTTTGGCTAGAACTCAAAAAGAGAATGTTAAACCCTCAGTTTTTAACAAATAAACAACTGAAGGATCCAGTGGTCGAGTAGACAAATAAATTAATGCATGTCTGTACTATCTCCTTTTGCTTTATAGGTTGGCAGGGTGTAGACTGCTCAATCCTGTGCTCCAGTGGGACTTGGGGATTGAGCTGTAACCAGACTTGTTTGTGTGCCAATGGTGCAGCTTGTGACCCAATCGACGGCTCCTGTACTTGTACCTCGGGCTGGAGAGGGGAACGCTGCCAGCAGCCCTGCCTCGTGAGTATCTTCCCGGGACTGGTTCCATTGTCTCTTTGCTAGAGGCTAGCAGGACTGGCCATTTGATTTATTAATATTTGTCATGACAGGGCAGTTTAAGCTTAGCAAGATGGTTTGTGTGTGTGGTTATTTAGGATGGCACATATGGGCTGGAGTGTCGCGAGCGTTGTGACTGTAACCATGCTGATGGATGCGACCCTGTGAGTGGATTCTGTCGCTGTCTGCCAGGATGGACAGGTGAGTGTACGACCAGTGACATAAACACATCAATATCTTAAAAATGGGATTTTATGAAGCAACATAGATGCTGGAGTGAACTGCTCACCCATTGTTGAAAGAAGAATTGATGCAATTTAAACACGCAGTGCCAGATTTATGAAAAGTGACAGTAAAGATTTTCCACATTGAACATTCTATTCATAAAAGAATCAAAAATGTAAATAAAAAAAATGTATCAAGGTTTCCAAAACAAATTTTGCTGCACATCTGTTTTTAACATTCATAAAAATAAGACGTGTTTTTGAGCACCAAATCAGCATATTAGAATGATTTCTGAAGGATCATATGACACTGAACACTGAAGCAATGACTGCTGAAAATTCAGCTTTGCCATCACAGGAATATATTACTGTGATGAGTGAGGCGGGACCAAGAGCCGTGGGAATCCCGCCTCCTTCCTCCCGGGTTTAGGCACCATTGTAATAAAGTTCGTAGTTCGGGAAGAAGGAGGCGGGAACCGGCAAACATTTAAACATAACTTTAATAACAAAATAAATACAAAACTGAAAATAGCGTGACAGCCCCTCACGGATGACTGCCGTGCACAAACAAAACAACATAAAGTCCAGCCATCACGATGTTAAACTGACTCAGATCATTTCATTTCATTTCAAGAATTTGGGTGTTATAATGGATTCAGCTTTAGTTTTAGATAAACAGGTTACTAGTGTTGTGAAGGCTGCCTTTTATCAACTCAGAATTATTTCTAAATTGAAATCAATTCTTTCTTTTAAGGACCTGGAGACTATTCATGCCTATGTATCATCACACATTGATTACTGTAATTCTGTATATATATAGGTATTTCACAGGGTCAATTATCTCGTCTTCAATTAGTTCAAAATGCTGCTGCCAGACTTTTGACTTGCACAAAGAAGAGAGAGAGAATTACCCCAGTCTTGGTTTCTTTACACTGGTTGCCTGTAAAATTTAGAATTGAATTTAAGGTTTTGTTGATGGTTTTTAAAGCGTTGCATGGCATTGCCCCAAAATATATTGTTGACCTTTAGATTCTTTATCAAAATACAAAACACATGAGATCTTCATATCAGATGATTCTTCATGTTCCTAAAACGAGATTAAAATCAAAGGGTGATAGGGCTTTTTCAGTGGCTGCTCCTCGATTATGGGACCCTGCATATTAAATCTTCCCCATCTGTGGATGCTTTTAAGTCTAGATTGAAATTGTACCTTTTTAGTAGAGCTTTTAGAATTGATTAGAGGGATCATGTTTTATATTTTAATGTTTAATTTTGTTTGTGTGACTGTATGTAATAATGCTTGAAAGCACTTTGGTCAATGGCAGTTGTTTTAAATGTGCTATAGATATAAAATTTGTATTGTATTGTATTGTAAGTACAAATTATTGGTAGCCCATTTCATATGTCATGGCCATTGTTATAGGAATACTCAGTGTGGTAAGCCAGAAATGACTTTATATTCTGTATAGTGCTGCAGTTCTGTTACGCTGCAGAAACACTGTCAGTGTGAAAGTACAATGAGACCCTGCTGTTACAGTTTGCTTTGTCACAATCTGTATTGTTAAAAAAAAAAGCGCTATATGAATAAAGGTGACTTGACAGTTACGCTGCAGCGCTGCTTGCTTAAGCTGTGTGAAACAGACTTACTACTAGTAGTAATACGACTTCTAATCATTATAAGAGTCAGCTGGTGGAATTTTGAAGATTTTGAGGTCTCGCAAGATACCACAGTGTGTCTTCATGAGGCATAATATATAATATCCACCCAGAAGCATCTGCTGTGGTTTATTGTTAGAATGTAATGGATTTTTCAATAAAATATTGCAGTATTAATTTTTTAAGTGATCCGGAAATAATAAAACCAGTTTTTATTAATCTTTCAACTGCCTTCATCTTAAAGGAAAATTCATTATTTTTTTAATAATTATGAAATATTATGAAAACATATGAAATCCTATTTTATTTCAATAGCAAAGTAATAGTACATTTTTATTTCAGCTCCTGCCAATGTTGTATGTTAAATTAAACTGATTCTACATTTGTGTGTTTATATTGTTCAGATTATTCTACACGGAACCACCATGCCTCCAAAATATGTTATCATAGGACACATAGCCTGCAGGCAGATTAATATGAGATCCCTGAAAGCATGAAGCATTTATAATAACTGTTGCTGAACATGTTACCTAATTAGATTGCACTGACCCAGAATGAAGCAATCGTTCTGCGGTTTGCATATATGGCTTTCACACTGCGCTTACACCTTCTGTTGCAGCGGTCTCAGCACTGTGTGTCCAAGAAAGAGATATGAGAGGCAGTGAACATGTTTGAGTATCACAGAAGGGCTGTGTTTACAAGTTCTTCAGCATGTGAACATGTTATACAAGAACCGAAATGGAGCAGGTTGAGATGGTAGATGTGGCTTTGCCTGCAGGCCCTCCATAACTCTCTCCGTTCAGGTCTTCAAATTCTGACCATGAGTACTGGAAAATGATGTAGCTTTCATTATCTGCAAGAAGGAGCCAGCTACGCAGAAATCTCACGCTCTGTATCCTGCCCAGGTCTCCGCCATCTGCCAGGCCTAATGGAGTCACCAGGGTGCAAATAGGCCTCCGAGACTGCGAGCATCTGAACAAAGAGAATATGCGGAGCAGTGATTTATTGAAGCTATCGAGAGAGCTAGACGTACATAGTGCATATGTGAGAAGATCGTGTCAGGTGTAAGACTTGAGAATGAGCTACACATGACATGGAGAGAGAGAGAGAGAGAGATTGCATAAGAATGTATGATAAGGAATCTCACGTGGCATATACGCAGAAGGCTTAATAGTACAGCAGCAAAAATAAATAAAATAATTCCCATTTAATTCTAAGTGCCAGAGTTAGTGTGGAAAATGGTTGTGAAAAAATAAATAAATGATCACAAATAAAATATATGACTCCTTTAATTATGAACTCAGTAAGGTAAGAAGGTAAATTTACTGTCTTTGAAGAGCAGTAGTTGGAAGATTTTTGTGATAAAAATGAAAAGTATTACTTAAGAACACAGGAGTGCAACATAAAAACAGATATTCCCAAGGACATACAAGCTGAGAGTGTGTTTTATCAAAAGAGAGAAAGAGCGGGATGTGTGAGATGGGAATTAAATAATCACTTTCAATAAAACTGCGTACTAATGGAGGGAGGAAGAGAAAGAGACAAAATAACCGGGGGAGAGATGTGAGAAAGAGTGAGAGTGAGAAAGCAAAGAAATGGACGTGCGATATTAGGTGCTCCATGGGCACTAGACTGAAGGATCGTGGGTATAACAGAGAGTGTCCTGCAGAGACCTTTGCATTACGTGTGCAGGTATGTGCGCCCGTGTGTCCACTCTACATGTAAAGTGCAGTGGAAAGTGATGGTGTATGATGGTACTTGCTCTTCACCCATTAATTGGCTGCCGGTCCCCCTGGCAGTTCTCTTCTAGAAAAGGCTCATATGCAAACAGTCACTTCTCCTCTTCTCCTCTTTCTTCACCCTCGCTCTGCTCAAAAACCCCTCTGTTTGTCACCATTTGGCTTTCAGGGCACTCTTCTATTCTCATTCATTGCTGACAATAAAGGAAGCACAGGACTTTTTTTCTGCCCAGCCCAGCAGAAGCTCAAACAGGCTCGCCTCTCCTTTGATGTGTGGTGGCTGGGCTTGTCTTATATGCACATCCATGTTGCCTCCCCATCCGACCACCTCTTTGTTCTGCCACAGAGGTGAAGCAGGTATGATGTCGGTCCCTGAAGTTTAGACCCGGTCTAATTCAAAGCCCTGGGACTAATGCCATTTTAATGGGTCTTGCCACTCGCTCAGAAAATCTCTGTCAAAAGAAATTGTAAATGAGGTTCTTGAGCTGCAGCTTGAAAGGATGTGTGTGAGAATATGTGTGCACATCATTTCTCCCTTCTATGCCATCTTGCTTATGGAGTTTGAAATATATAGATGCTAATTTAAGTTGTATTATAAAAGCAGTAAGCCACTCGAGAATGAATATTACACTGATTTTTCAAAGGTAAATGGTGTACTTAGGCATAACTGTGGTCAGTTTTTGTTTTTTTTAAACTAATGGCAGCAGTCTTCACCAGTCTTCTATATATATATATATATATATATATATATATACTGTGTG